TATAATACCGAGGCAGTGTGTGTTAAGTTGTAAATAGAAAATTCATTGAACAATTATGAATTACACTGGAATATTGTGGTCGAAATTTCAAAGTAGCTATACAGTCCACTGAGAGCTTGTTTTCCTTCAAAATTGCATCGCACAGCCACCATTTTGTTTTACGTTTTAACAAATTTCTAGCTGAGATCCGACGACTCTTCGTTGAATATCAGACAACTATTTACAGTACGCTGACAATATACATAAAACAGTCACCGAGTCGTGCTATAAATACACCTACGAGGCGTCGCACTTACGACGTGTTTTGTGAAATGGATTGCAGGATGCGTCGCAGCTGTGAAGCATTGTAAATTTATAAAAATGTCGTAATCGGCTGTCACGAACAATTCGGGTTGACTGATGCCAGCTACGGACTGCGATAGCAGCAATCGCATGAGAAGGCAGAGGAATGGCAGACAAGATGGACAAGTCGTGGAAACCATGGTTGTCGGAGCCAAATGACGCAATTAGGAGGACCCTGCAGGGATCCAACTCCACCTTCCCAAGTACTCAGGGGAGTAGGGAGTTCAAGGGAAAAAACTGTAGGCAAACAAATTGGTCCATGCAAAAGGGAGGGGGTTAGCATGCCACACCTTTAGTTAATGGGATCTGGAACTGTACCCCAGGAGCTGGCGGTTGAGTAATGGGGACGGTCAAATTGTGCTAAGATTGGCAGTATGACTGAGGTTCGATGGTTTACTCCATGGGGCGAATCCAGCCCCTGGAGTGTGTCGGTTGTGGTGTGGTCTCTGTCTGCCATGTGAGTAGGCCCAGGCACAAGAGTACATTGATATCACCTATATGAAGTACATCACAGTTGTGTTGTCGCAAAGGGTGACAACAGACTGACCCTGCACTATGCTCTAAAAGGTGGCCGATGGTAAGTCCAGAGACCCGCCGTTTGGTGAGATTCCATCACCATGCCCCAACCAACAGAGACGTATATGTTGTGATCGTCATGTTGGGCCGAAAGGGCTGAAAAAAACCTTTCTGATATTGTTTGGTTGGATCCACCACCGGGAACGCAGCCAGGTATTCTGTGAACACAGTACCACGTAGGATACAGGGTGGAACCATGGACAAAAGGGAGCCAGAAAATTGAAGCAGCCCCCTACAGGTGGCACAGCGAAACCAAGCCTGTGAGGTTCGCCAGTAGGCCATGGGGGAATCACATTGACAAACAGTGGCGATTCGCACCCGTGTTGGGTGAGCCATTTCCTGTTGTACATGTGGATTGGGGACGGCAACGAAATAACTGGGCCATTGGGACAGGGTTTGCTGGGATTTAGAATCATTGATGCAAAACCCAGGCCCTTGGAAATTGAGCAGGTCCGACTTACTGTATGAGCTGTTGAAGCCCGCTATGGGCGAATGATGAATTCGTCATCAAGGTTTGAACATCCTTAGACCTTGACAATGGAAGGCACTGGCCAGTGTCTTGTTCACAAATCTGGTGAAGACCACGAGTCTGGCATGCGGTTGTGTCCAACCAAGGGGGTACTCAAGAACTCCAGGCAGTAGCCGAATGAGACAGTGTCGACTAGCCACCGGACTGAAGTGAAATGTGAGGAATTTACTTAAAGCAAAATATCACGCTGGCTGGTCACGAAGCTGTGCATTGGAGTTAACAAAAAAATAACGGCGTTTGTTTCGAAGATGAAAACACAGAAATTTTGGTGAATCGTGAGGGGTTTCCGAACAGCGAAATATCATGCAGACTGTTGAAAGCAAAGCACCTAAAATTCAGTGTAGTGTGAGAGATCTGCTAAGTAGAGAAATATCATGCTGGCTGATAATTAAAGTTGTGCCGCTAAGTTAACAGCTTCCAGCCAATTTGTGAAGTCTTGCACATTGGTCAATACAACACTGTAAACGAAACTTGAAGGCAAAAAACACCAATTTGGTGCGGCGTGATGATTTTTGCAAATGTTCACGGTGACTGGTCCTACTAGCGAATACAGCTGACTGGTCGGTAACTTGTGGTGTAGCAGTTAACAACTCTCCATCAATGTGAAGTCTCGTGTGTAGATTAATATACCGCTATGAGAAAACGAAGTGCCAGTTAAATTACGGTATACATTTTCGTTTTGAAAGTGAAAGCACCAAACATGCAAGTTCGATGCAGGGTGAGATATCTGCCAAATAGCGAAATACCACGCTGATGGGTCGGTAACTTAGTAGTGAAGGTAAGGGTTGAGTGGCTTGCAACTAGTACAAAACTCGCCCCGTGCATTGTCTCACTCGATCAGTATAGCAGGACTGATGTGAGACAACAAAAACTGCCAGTTAAATAACAGTGAATTGCCAGTTAAATAGCGGCGTTTCGTGTTGTACTGTATGCGATGCAGCTTGATGGACTTGCAAAGTAGCAAAAATCATGCTGATGGGTTGGAACACTTGTAGCGTAGGTAGGGGGAGTGGCTTGCTACTTGTGCGACACTGACCTTATGAGTCACAAAACCTTATGAGTCACAAAACGGACACTTAAATATTACATTAACTCCGGGTGAATAATGGCAGTCGTTTTGAATACGAAGACTCAACAAATTCGGTGCAGAGTGAAGGATTTGCTAATAGCAAAATCTAACGCCGACTGGACGGTAACTTGTTGTGAAGGTACGTACAGGGGAGTTAATTGCTGCTTGCAACTTGTACGGCACTTGCAACTTGCAACTTGTGCGGCACTTGCCCCATGCTATGTCTCACTCGTTCTGTACAGCAACACTGCTGTGAGACAACCAAAACTGCAGTTTAAATAACAGCGAAACACCAGTTAAATAGTGGTGTTTGCTAATAAGCGAAAATATCACGCTGATTGGACCGTAATTTAAACCTAGGTAAGCTTGTAACTCTTGCGACACTTGCCCCGTATAAAGCCTCACTCATTCGGTACAGCAAAAACAGCCGTGAAACAATTAAACTGCTGATTAAATAACATGGTATCGCCAGGCAAATCATATTGAAGATCGCAGTCATATTGAAGATGGAGACTTCAAATAGTCGGTGCAGCATGAGGGATTGGCTTATAGTAGCAAATATCGGTAAGTAGTGGGTGAGTGGCTTGCAACTCATGCGACGCTCCCCAATGCAAAGCCTTGAGTGAATTTCAGCCTGTGTAAAGCCTCACGCTAACGGTAGTAGTGTAGGCAGACTGTTGAGCACACTTTGACCTTTGGAATAGAAATATGTAAATATGTACGTTTTAAATTTCCCGCACAATATCGATCGCTTTAGAACCTCGCAGAGTTCGCTAATCCCTTACTGGTCACACACAGAGTGCGTTGGTACCAATTACGGTCCCATTGTCCCCCAGATTATTGGTCCTCCTTCCGGGAAATATCGATCTTGGGCTAAACCCCACAGAGCTGTCAATAATCACTTCTGGCCACCTACGTCAACAGTCTATTGATCCGAGAGGATTAACTACTGCCGGCCACAGGTGGTCGTGTTCGGGTTGCGCAACCAGTTGCAATTATACAACCAACCAATATTGCACAACTGCTTGCAATATGTAGAAACATAACTACATGTGTATACTGTATTGAAATTTTATATTTCCCCATACATATATGCAATCTTTCCCATAGAATAGGTCAAACTGTGCTCGGTTCCTTATACCCTCACCTATTCCTTATTCATCCCACCCATACAAAAGGTCAAACTGTGCCAGAATTTCCTAACCCCATTAGTTCATATTTATATATGTATATACATATTTACATATTTATGTGACCTTTACATATTTCTATGCCAAAGGTCAAAGTGTGCTCAACAGTCTACCTACACTACTAACGGTCGTGACGTACGAGCACAAAGTGAGTAGCTAGCAGCCTATACAAAGCCCCCTTGCTCCTTACGATGTGAGCTACCAGCAGCCTGTGCAAAGCCTCATGTTAAAAAAGAGGTCGTGTATTGTTGGAAGCAAGCAGCTTGCAGCCTGTGCGAAGCCTCCCTAGATGGGTACGGCGTAAGCTACTTCCAACCTATGCGAAGCCTCAGGCACACGGTCTCGTACCGCAAGAACCATGTAACGGGAGTGAGTGACCGGTAACCTGTGCTGTGCGAGGACTCACTCCCGAAATGTACCCGAGAAACGACCAAAGAAATAACACGACAAAACAACCAAAATATGATAAAAAATCACTTAATTTGTAAAAAAAAACAACAGAAAACAAATATTTGAATAAAACTATGTATGAACTTAGTCATAAAAATGGCTGAGGAATGACTGAGAAAATTTGCAAAGTGAGAGCTCTGTAAATATACGTCTTTCACAAAACGCAGCTAAGAGAAAAGAGGAAGTGTGGCGGGCAGGCCACAAGGTACTGTGGGTAATAAATCTAGCGTATGGCTGGCGCCCTCTAGCGAATAATGCATATATAGTAGTACTCTACGGGTAAGTAGAGAACAGTAGAATTCATAGGTTAATAAAAGAAAAGTTGTTTACAGAAACTTAAAACAGAATTTAACTTGTTATAGTTTTTAAATTGTACAATTTAAAATTCTTTGAACGATAAGATGATCTTCAGGAGTAGATCAATTAAGCAGGAAAGTTGTTGGAGAAACAGTTAAGTAATTATAAACTGTTGGTTCATAAATTTGGTTAAAATAGGGCACTCACCAGATCATCAGTCACCCCCAAAGCGCTACTCCGTGCATACTACAAATTCAGATGGAGTATTGTGAATCTTCCTATTGTCAACTGACTGTCTTGAAAGACGTCAAAGGTGAATGAACAAAATGCCTGTTCCAAGCAATGTAGACCAATGTAAGTCCACTCATATGAAGTCAGCTTCAGCTGACTACTGATACATGTGGTATCAATAGGCTGTATCTCTTATAGGTTGACTCGTAGGCGTGCTGGCCTAGTTTACTCATTGGCTTGTTTAATTTAAAGGCATCTCAGATCAGCAAACGTTTATGGCAGCTGCAAGCAAAAGCAAAGTATTTAATCTATCTTAAGTATATAAAAGTGTCTTACTTGACTAGGATGTGTTGGTGTTGTCTGTACAGTAGATTCCTCTTCTACATGTATGTCAAGTTGCCCATCTTTTAATGTGGATTCATGTGAGATGCGTCTCTCTGATTGGTCAGTGACCTTCGGCATTTCATCGCTTTATCAAAATAAATAAATAAATAAAAACTTGTTATTCAAGATAAATTTGTATCCTCCTTTTTCACATGTACACTCATGTGAATGAATGTAAACTGGGCAAAGGAGGATAACATTTTATAACATCATTTACAAAACTACAGAAACTAATGACTCCTGTACCGTGTATTGAGCTCTGTGTGAAATGTGCTTAAATACAAGAATTAAGAAAACACTGCAATAGATTTCTGTATTTTGAGTGAATGGTAAAGGTGTTAGAGAAACAAGAATTCAACAAAATTATTGTGGCCCAGATTGATACCTTGTCATTAATATCGACTGAAGTTTCATTCGATTCGCTGAGATTAAGAGCTTGTCTTTGCGCACACATGTACAGTGGAAAGTCACTATACCAAACACATCGCAGTGGCGTAGCATGGTCATTTTGATTGGGGGGGGGGGTTTGACATTTTTTGAAAAGGGCACTTGCACATCCGTGGTAAAATGTAAGCACGTTTTTTTCCCTGGACACTTGGCCTCCGTAAAATCTTCCCCTCACAGGGAACCAGACTACAAGAATATGATTGTTTTTCTTGGTTTTTTCCAGCATCTACCAACACAATACTTCAAACAATTCAGTGTAACTATATTTGCTACAATATATTAACCCGCCAAATCCATCCATTTCTGAAAATTACAGCAAAAGGAAAGTTGTATATTCCCTTTAAATTAACTTTTTAAATCAAACACTTAAATCTAAAAAACTGGTTTATTGTGGGTAACCGTTTTGTTTGTGGGGGAGGCACCCTATACACTGTGCTTCAAGTCTCACTTTCTGATCATCTTAGTGATGTTTTTCAATTGAAGCTTTACAGTAAATATCTTATGGTAGTCTTTAAAACTCAGATAAAAAGGGCATCAATGCAGGGAGGGATGAGGAGCATATATAACCCCAGTTTTGACTTGGGGGGATGAGCCCTTGAATCATCCTCCCTAGTCTTTTGTGGTGAGAAATAAAGATATGCTAATTTTACTGTAATTTTCCTATAGTTCAAATGTATTATATACATGTTTAAACTGGAAAACAAACAGCACAGAAGTATTAAATGCACCACTCGCAGACTCTACTTATTCGCTCATGAAACATACACAAGAAGTAGATATAAACGAATATAAAACAACACACGTGTGATAAAAGCACAGAACTGCCCCTTGCAACTTACCCAGAAGCTGAAACAGCATCTTTTGTGATCGGTTGATCGATTGTGTCCTTCACACCTTCTTCAACCGGGGTTTCTTCAAATGTCCCAATGGTACCCATGAGACTGTCTAAATCCTGGCCTATTGAAGGTAGGTCAGCATCATCAGGTATCTAAATGATAATTTTTTTTTATAATAAGGAATTTGTATTAGAGCACTCGGACCTTTCTTTTTTGTTTTGGCGACGTCCGCCATTATTGTAAGCACAGCCAGAAATGGGTTTTATGTGCTACATTCACACGATGTGCACGCTACACGTCGCTGAAAAACACTGGGACGAGCCTTTGTGTTACAGGGCTGTTTGAGGGACATGCAGTGAGAACAGAGGGTGTGGCTTGCATACCTTTTTACTTAAGTTTGTGTGCTTGCACGCTGATATCGAGCGAGGCTGACGTCTTTTCTGAGCTGTACAAAATTAATAGCAAATTTTTAATTGGTATATTGTTCTATGTGGTCAGACTACAAGAAATGTTGCCGAATCTTCTTTGGTAGGATACATTTTCTACCCAAGTTGAGAAGTTATTTTGCCCTTGGAAGAAGATTTCCGACATTTAAACTATGGCAACTCCAACAGCAAGCAAAGATGCAAAAAGGGCACAGCCAGCTGACCGCTGGTGGCACTGCTTCTTCTGCAATGTCAAACATCAGCAGTAAACCAAGAGGTCGATCTAAAAAAACAATTTGTACTACTAGTGCTAATGCATCAAATCTGAATGAGGACATGTGGGATTGTAATACCTGCAAGGCAAGCTTTACTGACAAAAAGAGTAAGTTACTGCAATGTAATTACTGAGATAATAAGAGATGTTTGAAGTGTCTGAAAATTTTGGAAGCAACCAACAAGAGTCTAGGTGACAGGATTTTCCATTGCTCTGTGACAAATGTGTGGTCAAAGCAATGCGGTGCATTAAAGAGGAGAAAGAAATAGAGGATTGATGCAACACATTCATTAATGAATTAAGAGCAGAAGTAAACTTGTATAAACACATACCACATATGTTTCAACATTTCAGTGGGGGGGGGGGGGGGGGAGAAGGAAAAAAACCTGTCCCCCTGCAACTGGATCTGTCCCATCATTTACGAAGTTCCTCAAGCTCACACGCTGCAGATGACGGGTAAAGTCGGAGGTAGTTCCACTAATTTCAGAAATCGTGGCTTTGCAACATTTACAGTTGCAGAATGTCTCTTCTTGCCCCTTTTGTGGCACAAATACTTCTTGTGATTGGTAAATCCATACCTGATCACTCGGGAGAGCGCCAACATGATCTGAGGTATGGAGTGGTACATGTGTGGCGGACTTGGTCTGTGGACTCACACCCTTGCATATTCTTTTTAAGCTCAATTATTCCCACAAAAATATTTATTATCCTCCCGTATGCATGAGCGGTTATACACACGAAAGGGAGGGAAGTTGTCACGAACGGAGAACTGATGGAATGTTCTAGGCCTGTCCGTTTGTAGGAAATATACCAACAAGCAATGAATTGAGAACTACTCTGCCTAATACACATTGTATAAATAAATGTGAAAAACACAACCGAGTTAGAAACAACAACTCACAACTGGTTAATTTCTGGTGCTCAAATATGATCAGTGTATGGGTACAACAATATGCGAGGTTCAAATAATGAGGTTTGCTATATTACACACCAATAAACAACTGATCTCTTACATGAGGTTTGTACCAAGGCCGAGGGTTACTTCAACAACTTTATGCAAATTAGTAAACCTCTTTCAGTAATTCCAGGAAGTAAACCTAATAACAGAGTGGAGGGTTATTTTCCCTACCAAACCTCTCAAATGTAACTCTAATAATCAGCTCACGTCTGCAACAGTGGGGCCCCGGGTTAGTTTATTCCCACTAACCTTTAGCCCTGTCCGCACTGGACTTTTTTTGGTCAAACTAACCGAGACTATGGGTACTTTTCCCATTTTAAGTCCAGTGCGGACAGCCTAGGACGTTTTCCTCTCGGTTATTTTTCCCGAGTCCAGCAGTTACTTTTACTGGCCAACTGCTGCCCAGGAAAACTTCCCACGCGCCCAGGAAAACTGACCAGGTCACTTTTCCCGAGACGATAAGTCCAGTGCGGACAGTGCGAGTCGGTAAAAGCGGCTCAGGAAAGCGTACATCCGGCCCGAGCGCCCCGTTATGCATACAGAGACCGCACGAACCTGCACGTGCAGTGGCCGAACATTTTGTAGAAACACGTTGCGGTGTATCATCAAGTCCGAGCGGTAAAATCTCATTAAAATATATATTTCAACGGAAAAATACATACACAGAGAAGAGAGATCACGTTCTGAGAATTAATTTGCGGAAATTCTCTTTCTCCACCGATGTATGTTATTTTCTACGATCCAAATTCGTCCTGATACGCTACTGTAGTCATGCACGGAACATCATGGTCCGGTACCGTACGTAGGCCGTAGTCACTGGTTCCTGGCCCACATCATAGCTTCGATTCTGTAAGCATGCGATGGGAACCAACGAATACTGATGGCACTGCTGCCGCACGGAACATTGTACAGCGGCATGGCTTCGACGACGTGCATCACAAATGCGTCAGAATTATAGGCCTTTTCGTCAAGATTTAGCGTGTCAAGATGAAATAATATCGTGTAAACGATTATGTTGTGCATGCAAATGGCGTGTGTAGTATTACTGTGCGTATCAGCGGCTGAAAATGTGATCGGCAATTTGTTTTCTGTGTATGGTGAGTCATTATACTGACACTGTGACAGCTTGGTTACTTCTCCCACGCGGTCTGGGTAAATTTTCCCGTGTCGAAAGTCCAAGTGCAGACAGTGGTCACATTTGACCATTTCTCATTTTACCATCGTCTCCGTAAAACCTTAAAAAAAAAGTCCAGTGCGGACACGGCTTAAGCCAACTTATGTACCGATAAGGTCGTGGGAGCTCTCGGTAAACCTCTAGGGTCAAAGACAATAGATCATATAGACTATAAACCTCGACACAACGTTACCGGAACGGCAACAGTATCTCCCAATCTGCCTACTGATCTTTCAGCCTTATCTAACCCAACAACTACACGAGATTCACTCTACCCAAACACTACACAATCCCCTGCGATGTAATATTTCACAGCTCTGCCAGTTGCTAAGCAATTATGCTCTGCTATAACTTACTTACCCCTGGTAAGTAATACTGCTGACAGTGGCCGGCAACTGGCAAAGCACTTCACCGCTACAGAAGGAACGGGTCGGTATAAACCTCTCGATTGAACCACGTTGCTCTGACTCACGTACGATGTTTACTCATCGATGGCTGGATTGCAACTGACGAAAACTTACAGTTCGTGCGTGTTTGAGGGTGCACTTTGCCTCTTTACAAATAAAGGGATTAGGTTCGCCACCCAGGCGAAACACTGACAGCTCGTTCCGTCACACGTGTAAGTCAGAAGCCTCAGCAGTCGACAGGAAGTTGATCACGTGTTGCTAACGATCTGCGGGATGGTCGGACAGACTGTGTGCGTGCGTGTGTGCATGCTGTTTACGTGCTGCATGTGCCAAAACCTCAAACTGAATACACATCGCTTTGCAAAAGATTTTCATTCAAATTCTCGCAATATTCTAGCACATAAATTTATGAGAATGTTTCCAGGGTGAACAACTTGAAAAAGTGCTGTACAATATATTCATTTAACATTAATCATGTCATGCAAGCCACCAAGCCAGTGAACATGCCAGAGTAGGCACAGTCTCATTAGTCTGGTTCCATGGATGAATCAGACTCTTCTCTACTATTCAATCAAGTGTTGTTACAGAGTCTTTCATTGTCACACCCATTTAGCTGTGGCAATTTAAGTGAACCCTGTTTGGAGACCCCAAACCACTTGCAAAAGACAGAAAGAATTCAATCAGAAAAATAATTTAAATTTCAAGAAAAATATGTACAAAATTTATTAATTTAATAGAAAAAAATTAATTCAATTATAATTACAATTATATACAGTAAATCTAGTCAACCTGGTAAATTGTGAAATATGTGAAATAGGATGAATTTTGTGCCCCCCATTTTTTTTGAATTCCTAAATCCCCCAGAGTTAGGTCATGCACTTTCTTAGAAATGTGTGGGTGTGGGCGGTTGGTAGCAGAACTTGCAGCCAACCACAATAGTCCTCGAGGAGGAACTGTATAAATTCGGTGGCCAGTGAACTTTCCCTTCACTTGACCACTGAACTGTAATTAACAGAGACACTTTATAGTTGGCAGCAACCAGCACCTTCTGTTTAAACTGTCTCTGTAATCCTCCAACTGAACCTGCCATATTCATATATTCATCCTCTGTCCTGCTCTAGGTGAGTTTGATAATACTTTTATCTTACTTTTACTCCTAAGTAAAAGTGTTTATTCTTTTACTCAAAGTTTAGACCGAGTCGTCACATGTTGTTATTTAGTACTATTATGTTCCTTTCATACCATCACTGTATTTTGAGTTGAGAGTGTTGTTAAGCTTAATGGATGAATATTAAGTTCTTGGACATTTCAACTTTGGCCAATATCCACTTGAGAAGTTCTTACTGCAATTGACAGTTTTTAGGATTTCGTTGTTGTCATTTCTTGAAGCAAGCACAATCTTCTTTTGAATGTTTGATGATTTAATTTTCTCATAGCTTGATTTGAGAAGTAGCCATGTTCTCTGAAAGTAGAACAAATTCCAAATTGATCGATTCCCTATATTATTTGAGTTATCTTTGATTTTCTTTGATTGATCTGAAAGTTTACGTACTAAGACTTGCCATTTTTGTACAAAAGACTTGTGGCGACTCTAGTCTAAATAAAGTGGAACTTTATTTAAGAAAGAAGAGTTTGTAGGACTACATGTACAAAAATCAGGAGTTATTATTATAGACATCCATGGTTTATTAAGTTAACTTTTTGGCATATTCCAAAAGACAATCAGCATCTTATAATCATTCCCAGTTACTTTTGCTTAAGTGAAAAGAGGAATAATTTCCTTAGTACAAATTCCGTGAATTTGTAACAGTTCTCTTTGATCATTTGATATTCATTTTACTTGATATATCTAGTATAGCCTTTTAAGTGTTATCTTAGTTTAGTTTGTTTCAGTAGCTCTAGTATAGCATTTTAAGTTTTATCTTAGTCTATTTTGTTTCAGTAGCTAGCCTTTTCTTTATTTTCTCTATATCCAAGTTTTCAATCTTGAATATTCCTTTTTGTTTTAAGATTAATTTGATTATTCAGGATCTTGCAAGGTATTTTCCCTCCTGGTCAATTTTTACTTTCTTATTATGAGTCATTTGTATTCCCTGAATTGATTTAAGTGTTATGATGCAACAGGTGTAACCTTGTCATGCCTGAGGCATTGGTCTTGGTATAA